CTCCTCCTCCTCCTCCTCCTCCTCCTCCCCCTCCTCCCCCTCCTCCCCCTCCTCCTCCTCCTCCTCCTCCTCCTCCTCCTCCTCCTCCTCCTCCTCCCTTCGGGCGGTGGCTCCACGGGGGGGCAACAGCACCAGAAGACGGAGGGCGGAAGTGCAGTGGAGGCCAGTCCACAAGAAAGCAGACGTTCTCTTCTTCGGCGTCTCGACATCGGGCGGACGGGGGGGAGGGGGGGGGTCTGGCTCTGGACCTCTGCTGAATGCGACTGTGTGCAGCAGTGCGTCCTCAGGGGGAGAGACTCCACCTGCTCGAAACAGGCGCCATAAGCGGCCAAGATCTGCTCCATGGGGGGGAGGGAGGGGGAGGCGCGAGCGCCCTCGCCGATCGGCAAAGCAATGAATCATAAAACACGATCACAAACCTTCCACAATAAACCCAACCCTGAGACCCCAGGCCGTCCATTGATTCTTGGCGCGGGAACCTCACGCTTCCCATGTCAGAACCATCGAAACCAAAGAAACCCGTGGCACCCTGGAGGCATGCGAAGTGTTTCTGGGCATGGGCCTCCACTATAAACGGAGGGCTGAAGAAAGGTGTCAATGCGGAAGAAAACTACACCGTTCGATCGCCTTCGGGGCATCCTGCAGACATCACTCCGCCCCGATTACACCGCCGCGGCATTACGACGCGCCCCCGCCCCGTTCTGGGTTCCAGGCGAAGGAGTCGTTCGCAATGGGGTCGCTACAAAATGCAATAGTTCATCATGTCCCGCATGTCGGGTGGCCGCCACGTGCTGATACTGTACGACGTGCGCAGCCCGCAGGCAAGACTGCACGAACTGTTGCGCACACGTTTGGGACTCCTCTGCAAAGGACCCACTCGCCCGAACCCGACCCTCCCCGAGGGACAAGCCATCCGTCCCCCGAAGCGCCGCGGAGGCGCCACGGCGGGTGCTCCTCCGCCGCCTCGGGCTCTGGGGCCCCCGGCCCCGGGCTCGTCGAGAGGGCTCGCGCTCGGGACGGGGGCGGGAGCTCCAGCCGAGGCTGAGGGGAAATGTGAAGGGGAACTGGAACACATAAATCAATAGACACAAATAACCAGATTCCCCATATTTTCCCTTATGTTTTGGGTTTTTGTCTTCCCCCCCACTTCCCATGTTTTCCCGTATTTTCTGGGGAATCGAGGATGAGTTGTGTTTGTGTGTTTCTTTTCCTCCTGAAAATGCTTGAGGGGGATCGTTGGGGAAACATTCACCCAGGCGACGATCCGAAAGGTGTCCTGCGCGAGACGGCACAGCGGCCTTGCGCCGCGGCTTCTTGTGCCGCCGCCAGCGTGGCACGCCGCATTGGAGACGAGGGTGCTTACAGGCGGCCTTACGCGGGCAGCCTGCGCGCCAATGTCGGCGAACACGACAACGTTGTTCTGCGTCGCCCACCTGGTATCGGCGTACATCACCGATAGAGATAGGCGGTATGCCCCCGATCACGCAACCACGCGTTCCTGGGTGGATTGCGATATCGAGCCCCAGTCGGCGATCAATGGGCAAAAGGGGGTCGATGCATCTCCCCTTGAGCCTCTGCCCCATAACGTTACACCTGACCTCAGCCGAAGTGAGCATATAGAGAAAATAATAATCACAACAAGCACCCCGACAAGCAAGGCACTTGTAGTGAACGCACTTCAAGAAAGATCGATCTGGGGACGGCCGCATACACACAAATTGTCGAAGCTCCGCCGGACTTCTTGGACCGGCGCTGGACCCCCCGCCCCGGCGCGCGGAGCGAGCCATGGGGGAGGGCTGGAGGCGACGCTGGGGGGGGCAGCGCCGTTCGAAGAAATCCGCACTGAGCTTCGAAAGTTTCATGCTGATCTCCCAAACAGCTGTGCTGACAGGAATCCTCTTGTGGTAAGATCTGGTTCCGCCCCGAGGAACAGCCATCCCCAAAATTCTGATGTGGTCTGACCCGGTTCGTCTGAAACATCCTCACACACCTCGTGTCTGGATTGTCCGCGGTGGTGCAGTTTCGCCTGAGACAGTCTCGCAGTCCTCGGCTCCGATGTGCCGCGCACGAAGTGGGCCGGCGCGGTTCGCTTGAGACGTCCTCGCAGCTCTGAGATCCGAGAGGACGCGCGTGACCTGGTCTGGCCAGGTTCGCTTGAAACAACCTTGCAACCCTAGGCTCGGAGATGCCGCGCGCAAGCTACTCAGGCGTGCTTTGTCTGAGACCTTCTTGCAACTCTATCCTCCGAGGTGCCGCGCATTCACGGAACTCACTCTGGGCGCTAATTCGCTTGATGGTGTGGCGCGTTGATATCCCCTCGCAGCCCTGGACTCCGGGCTGCCGCGCGCGAGTTGGTCTGGCGCTGTTGGCTTGAGACGTCCTCGCAACTCTGAACTCCGCGCGCGAGCTGGTCTGGCCAGTTTCGCTTGAAACGACCTCGCAACCCTAGGTTCGGAGATACCGCGCGCGAGGTCGTCCAACGCGTCCCGCCTGAGACATCCTCGAACTCTGGGTTCGGAGATGCCGCGCGCGAGGTGATCCACAACTCTGGGCTTCGAAATGTCTAGCGCGAGTTGGTCCGACGCATTTCGCCTGGGACGTCCTCGTAACTTTGGGCTTCGAGATACTGCGCGAGAGGTGGTCGAGCCCGTTTCGACTGAGAAATCCTCGCAACCCTGGACTCTGAGAAAACGTGCGCAAGGTGGCCTGGACCGTTTCGTATGAAATATCATCACAGTTCGAGGTTTTGAGAAAATGGTCTGGCGCGCCTCGCCCGAGACACCCTCGCAATTCAGGGCTCCGAGAGGGAGTCAAGGTCAGACGCAACCGACTAATTACAATTCACTTCCACATGGAAAGTGATCCAAGAAAACTCTGGAGGCCCCTTGCCCGGCGGAGGAGGTAGCCGGCACCGAGGCGTGAACGCGACTCCCTGGTAAATTGCAAAGGTGTCTCGGGCGGGAACGCCATACGTGAACAAAGTGTGGAAATGTCTCGAGCGAAAGCGCGGTTATTGGAGAGGAGACACGATGGGGAAGGAGAGGGAGGAGGGAAAAGGGATAATGGAGGGGCGACACTGGCCAAACTTAACCGACCTGTTTGAAGGCACCTCCTAGAAACGGCGTCGAAAGAGCGAGCGCATACAGCGCATGTCTGATGAGGCGAAGGGGCGAGGAGGGGGCGAGGAGAGGAAATGCGAGGACGAAGAGGAAGAGCACTGCCAGGAGGAGGAGAAGGATCATTCGCAGAGGAGGAGAACGACGAGCACGAGGAACCATGGGCAGGCAGTGTTTGTATTGGGGACGGTCAGGAGTCGAGCCGCGCCCCCTCTGGGAAAAGGGGAGCACCCCCCCTGCGCGAGTGGCCCCAGCAGCCACTCCTCAAGAGCCTCCCTGCACGACTCAGCCTCGCCGACACGTGCTGCTGGCGCTGCGCGACTGCGGGCCGTGCCGCCCGCAAACCATGTGCCGGGACCCTCCCCGGGGGCAGCGAGGGGCGGCGCCGAACGTGCGGGCAGCACGCGCCTGGGCACGCCGTGCGTGCCGACACTCTGGGGCGCCGGGGGCCCGGGGGCACCGACCAGGCACAGCTGGGGGAGCTGTGGTCCTTTACCCCCCCGGGGGAACCCATCGCGTCGAGGAGTTCTCGAGAGAGGGGTGTCGAAATCGATGGGCCCCCCAGGGGGGTAAGGACCACAGCGCCCCCAGTTGTGGCTGGCCTGGGGCAGCATGGCGGCTCTGGGCTGGCACCGTGCCGCCAACCGAGGCCCTCAGATGACGACGCGCGCGCGCCTAGGCGCGCCGCCCCAGGAAGCCTATCCGTGGGGTACCCCTCCCACGGAGACGAGCCTGTTCCCACGCACGCCCGGGCGGGGGGCACAGGCCGTGGGAGGGACGAGGGACGGGGGCGAAGAGGAGCAAGGAGTCTCTCCCCCGCCCGCCCCTGCCGAATATATCGTGGTTGCCCACGGCCCTCGGACCTCGGACAGGCACGGGCGAGGGGTGACGATCGGGCTGATACCTGCTTGTTTACCTGGAGGGGGACCCAGTGGCACAGGTGCCAGGATCACGAAGAGGAGCACCAGGAAAACAAGGAGGATCATGGAGAGGAGGAGGAAGAGGAGGAGGAGGAGAAGGAGGAGGAAGAAGAAACGGGAAAAGGAGGAGCGCGATGAGGAGGTGCAGGAAAACGAAGAGGAGGGAGAGCACCAGGATGATCATGATGATTCGTACAAGGAGGGGGACGGAAAGCAGTGAGATGAGGAGATGCACGAGGAGCAGGAGAATGAGGATCAGGATGGGGAGGAAGAGGACGAGGTTGATCAGGAGGACACGAGGATGGGGTGGAGGAGGAGGAGGAAGAGCAATGGACGGGGCGAAGTCGAGGTCGAGGGGGAGCATGACGCGGATGCAGAGGAGGGGGAGGACACCGATCACAAAAAGCTCGACGACGACGACGAGGGCGCAGTGGCAGGCCGATGAGGAGCAAGAGGACGCGCGGACACTCCCAGGAACCAGCTTGCCTCGAAGAGCGCAGCCTACGCGATCCTGCAGCTGCTCCTGCCCTGGAGGTCGCCGTCACGGACCACGGGGTCCCTGTGGACTTCCCCTCCCTCGCCGCGGCGGGCGGGCACGCCTGCGGATCTCGGCGGCGTGCCTATGGATCTCGGCGGCGTGCCGATGCCGCTGCCGCCGCCGCCGCTGCGGTAGTGCGCGGGCCTGTGGGCGGGCGCGGGCTGCCTCTCCCCGCGCGCGGAGAGCAGCTCTCTCTCTCGCGCGCCCCCCTTCGCGCTCGCTCCCCCCCTGGAGGCTGGCGGCGCCCACGAGGGGGCGGCGCCAGGGGGGGGTCTGGGCTCCCAGGTCGGGGGCGCGCGGGCACGGATCAGCGGTGCGGGGATCGGGCGCGCGCTCCGTACACGCCTGCACGTGCACCACAGAACGCCGAGCTCGTCGAAGCAAGTTGGCTCGTTCGGCGCTCTACAAATCGAGGAAGAACACCTGCATGAACAATAGATTTCGGTGATCTGCGCAGCTTGCTTGGATCCGCGCTGTATCCACTCCCTGGCTCGCGTAGCGGCGCCGATGCCAGAAATCCACGCGGAGCTCCAAGAGTGTATGTCAATGCGAATTTCATATTCGAGCAAGCGGAGTGATGCAATCTGGTTGTGCTGCTACGCCTGCCTGTTCAACGGTGGATCAAGATACTGGGGAGAGGGGGAAGTCTTGTCGAGAAACGCCGACACACGTTCTGCCCAGTATCATGAGACCACTTCGGACGGTCAGGGGGAATTCTAAAAGTCTGACATGTGGCCCAATGCCTCAGAACCCTGCCCAGACATCCCAGCCGACCCAGTGCCATCGACTGGTTACGTGGTCGGGTGGGAGTTGGGGCAAAATCAGCTCATACACACGTGGAAGCTACACTGGTGCGAGCGCGCAGGGAGGAATATGAGGGGTGAGTGGGGGGGGAGGAGGAGTGGCAGGGGGGAGGAGGATGCGCGGATTAGGGAGGATGCGCAGTCAAGGAAGAGGGGAGGAGAGGAAGAAGGGGAAGTGCGTCAGGTGGAGAAACGGAACGAGGGGCAGAAACGGAACGGAGGGGGGCGGAAGAGGTGCCCAAGGAGGGAGGGAGGAGGCGTATGCACTTCTTCGACCGCTCCTCCCGAGGCAAAGGGCGGCCTCAGTGGGTCCAACTGGTGGCTGTGAAACCTTGGGCATGTCTCGAGTCTACCGGCGCACATTGCGGCAACTGAACACACTTCAGTGCTACCAGCGAGCAAGACTCCACACACGCAAAGTCATTCCGATTTGCGCTTTGGGTTTCAGTCTCAGGACAGTATCAAGCTAGATCAAGCGGAGAAAGGAGCTATGGACACGAACGGGGCAAACTGTCGCATGCTACGAGCTTATATGGTATAGCAATGAATCGCGCCGCTTTGAATTGCACTGCAATCATGTGCACTGCAACTAACTCTATTGCAACTTGTGTGTCTACATATACTTGTGTGCTTGTTTGCACTTCCGTGCTTCGAGCTGCAGTGCATGCAATAGTGGCGGGTTGCTGGAAAAAAACACTGCGCTGCACTACTATTGAATGGTCTGATTTGCTTGAAATTGCAATGCTGCGCATTGCGTTCAATTGCGATTGATTGCGTTGCAATGCGTTGAAATGCTCTGAATTCGGTTGGTGCATGTGCATTGGATTGCGTGCCTTTCTTTCCACGGAGGTGAGCCCTGCTGGAGCCTGTGGCAGTCCTCCAATGGGAAATCGAGGAGCGACCCCCGACTAATCCTGGCTTCAAGAATAGGCTGCCACTGGCCCGCGTGCTGACCCCCTACCCCTGTTCCGACCAGCCACGGCAGGGGGGGACTGGTCAGCAGCCCCCTAGGAGAATCCACCCTATCGACGATCTCTCGAGAGGTAATCAGACGAAGAAATTAGATAAAAATATACCCAACACCTTCTCAACGCGAAACGAATATTTGTTCGAACGTTCCGTATAAAGAACACCTCGCGCGACGTTAAAGATTGGCGCTGCCCTCATCTCTGCCCTCTGCCGTGCCTCCCAGGGGCCCACGAAAATGGTGACATTTGCGCAGTTTGCAAAAACTGGGGAAGCCGCGAGGTCTCGAATCTATCTGCGCTGCCCTCACCTCCGTCGTGCCTCTAAGGAGCCTGCGAAAGTGGTGACATTTGCACAGTTCGCAAAAAACCGAGGAGCAACGAGGTCCCAAATGGGTCCGCGTGGCCCCCGACTCCGTTCGACCTCCCAGGAGCGCACGAAAGTGGTGACAACTGCGCAGTTTGCAGCCAGCAATCCAGCAAGGGAGCAGCGATGTCCCAGATGGACCCGCGTGTCCCCCGACTCTGCTGGACCTCCCAGAAGTCAACGAAAATGGTGACAGTTGCGTAAGTCGCAGACACCCATGGCGCAGCGAGGTCCCCCCTGGACTCGCGTGGCCCTCGACTCCGCTGCACCTCCCACAGGCCCACGAAAGCGGGGACAATTGCGCAGTTCGCAGCCACCCAAGGGGCAGCTCTCGTCTGGATGCGCGTGGGCTCCGACTCCGCCGGACCTCCCAGGAGCCCCTCGAAAGTGCTGCCAGTTGCCCAAGTCACAGCCAACCAGAGAGCAGCGAGGTCCACACCTCCGCCGAGCCTCCCAGGAGCCCAAAGTGGCGACGGTTGCGCACTTCGCAGCCTCCGAGGAAGCAGAGCAGGAGGAGGCATGATGGAGGAGGAGGGAGGATGATTGAAGGGGCCCACAAACTCACAAATAAAACAATCCTCATATTTACCTAACAGCGACGACCGATAGGTTTCTAGTGGTGTCAAAAAAAACAGCAGATGACTCCACAGGGGGGTCTGGGCAGCATCCGGGGAGCTGTGTCCGAACTCGTGTCCGAATTCGTTTTTCGCAAACAATCACGCACTTCGTGCTCTTCGACCTCCCAGAACTCCATTCCCGCGCCACATTCTAAATGCCCGAAGCCAACTGTAAGCCACTTCGTGCTCTTCGACTTCCCAGAACTCTATTCCCGGGCCACATTTTGGATGCGCGGAACCAACTGTAAGCCACTTCGTGCTCTTCGACTTCCCAGAATTCATTCCCAGGCCACATTTTGGATGCCCGGAGCCAACTGTAGGCCACTTCGTGCTCTTCGACTTCCCAGAACTCCATTCCCGGGCCACATGTTGGATGCCCGGAACCAACTGTAGGCCACTTCGTGCTCTTCGACTTCCCAGAACTCCATTCCCGGGCCACATTTTGGATGCCCGGAGCCAACTGTAGGCCACTTCGTGCTCTTCGACTTCCCAGAACTCCATTCCCGGGCCACATTTTGGATGCCCGGAGCCAACTGTAGGCCACTTCGTGCTCTTCGACTTCCCAGAACTCCATTCCCGGGCCACATTTTGGATGCCCGGAGCCAACTGTAGGCCACTTCGTGCTCTTGGACTTCCCAGAACACCATTCCCGGGCCACATTTTGAATGCCCGGAGCCAACTGTAGGCCACTTCGTGCTCTTCGTGTTCCCAGAACTCCATTCGTGGGCATGATTTTGAATGCCCGGAGCCAACCGTAGGCCACTTCGTGTTCTTCTAGTTCCCAGAACTCATTCCTGGGCCACATTTTCAATGCTGAAGCAAACTGATGCTGCAGCCGAGGCAGGCTGAGGCTGAGACAGGCTGAGGCTGAGGCCGAGGCTGAAGGCAGACTGAGGCTGAGGCTGAAGCAGACTGAGGCTGAGGCTGAGGCAGGCTGAGGCTGAGGCTGGCAGGCTGATGCTGAGGCAGGCTGAGGCTGAGGCTGAGGCTGATGCAGGCTGAGGCTGAGGCAGGCTGAGGCTGAGGCCGAGGCTGAAGGCAGACTGAGGCTGAGGCTGAAGCAGGCTGAGGCTGAGGCTGAGGCAGGCTGAGGCTGAGGCAGGCTGAGGCTGAGGCTGAGGCAGGCTGAGGCTGAGGCTGTGACTGCGACTGCCGTTGCCACTGCGACTGTCATCGCGAATGCGACTACGACTGCGAGAACAGCAGAATTCTACAACTGGATTCTCATCTGAATCTTAAGGGGAATGCTTCCAGATATGTTCCTACACATCGCTGTTAGGTTGCTTTGCCGGGATAATTTCCCATATTTTCTGGGTTTCTGTCTTCCCCCCCACTTCCCATATTTTCCCATATTTTCTAGGGAATCGAGGGCGAATTGTGTCTGTGTGTTTCTTTTCCTCCTGAGAGGAGGCAGGATGGAGGAGGAGGGAGGAGGATGTCGGTGGAGACCACGGCGCTCGAACCAACACGCGAACGCAACACAAGAGTGTTGGGAACAGCTACATAAATATAAAATTTCCAGCGCTCCGCGCGGGCCGAGTGTGGGGCCAGGGTCGCCGCCAGGGAGGGTCCCGCGCAGACCCAAGGAGTCCACGCGGTGCTCCACGTGCTTGTGTTTGCAGTCACTCTTCTTCGCAGGACGTCCGAGACGATGGGCTTCCCACGGGGGAGCAGGATCTCGGTTCCCGAGGTTGTGGCTGGGTCGCTGCTCCCCCGCTGGGCAACACACGTTTGCCGTCGGCGGCGCGGCAGAGCTGGCTGCACCAGCGAAGGAGCCAGACGGGGGCACCGAAAAGCGAGCTGGCCAGCGTGCAAGAAATGGGAAGAGGGGACGGCGGGCGGCCGCGGGGGGGGGGGAAGGAAGGAAGATGCCACTCAGCGTCGGACGAGTGTGCACCTAACCCGCTGGGCAACACACGTGCTGGCGGCGAGCGGAGACAGCCGGCGGTCCGGGCTGGCCTGGCTGGCTCTGCTCCCGCATGCCCCAGGCTCGCCTGCCGGAGCGGGTAGCAACTCCGAGGGAGCAACACCAACACTAACTCCAATTGCTACTCCTGATGAGCATCCTCGTCTTCCTGAACTTCCGATGCGACTCGTCGCCTCTCCATAAAGCCAAACGGTTGCCGTGGGACAGCGCGTGTTCCGACGTGCTTCTGGCTGCCGACACGATAGGGGGACAGGCAGAACAGCTCCTGAGCGCTCCATGCGAAAGAACACATCGCCCGATGTGCACGATTTGCCATGCCCTCACCTCCGCCGCGCCCCCCGCGAGCCTACGAAGGCGGCGACGGCTGCGCACTTCGTCACCTCCCACGTAGCCGCGATGTCTCGGCTGGATCCGCGTGGCCCCCGCCTCCGCCGCACCTCCTAAAAACCCACGAGGGTGGCGACAGTTGCCAGCTCGCAGCCACCGAAGGAGCAGCGAGGTATCGGCTGGGTGCGCGTGGCCCCCGACTCCGCAGGGCCTCCCAGAATGAAGGGAAACTGGGAAGACACAAATAAATATACACAAATAACCAGATTCCCCGTATTTTCCCATATTTTCGGCGTTTCTGTCTTGTCTCCCCCCCCACTTCCCATATTTTCCCTAATTTTCTTGGGGATCGACGATTACTTGTGTCTGTGTGTGTTTTCCCTCCTGACAGAACCCCACGACAGAGTGGCGGCAGTTGCGCAGCTCGCAGCCCGCACAAGGAGCAGCGAGGTCCCCCATTAGGGCGCGCGTGGGCCCCCGCTCCGCGGGGCCTCCCGGGGCGACTGCACAGTTCACGGCCACCGGGGGAGCCGCTAAGGTCATCGGGGTGCGTGTGGCCCCCGACGCCGCTGGACCTCCCAGGAGCCAGCGAACGTGGCGACCGTTGCGCAGTTCGCGGCCGCCCGGGGAGTTGCGAAGGTATGGGCTGGGCTCGCGTGGCCCCCGACTCTGCTTGACCTCCGGGCTCACGAAACTGGTGCCAGTTGCGCAGTTCGGGAGCGGATCTGTTACCCTGAGGGCCCGTTGGCTTCATGGCGATGACAGGAGGCGGCAGCGGCAGCCGCAGGGGCGGCTGCCAAACCAACAGAAGAAGGAACACAAGCAGGGCTGTCGCCCCGGCCTGGGTATCGAGAAACATCCAATCAAATTATATCGAGCTAACGTGTCGTACCTCACGGGCCATCTCTAAGCTGAGTTGGCTGCTGCGATGTGCATGCAAAAGGGTATGGGAGCCTTGCCCCAACACGTGCGCAAGAAATCACGTGCGCACATCCGTTCACGTAATCATGACTGTCGGCCGACCTGCTGGGCCCCAGTGGCCACCAAACAAGGAGGTCAGCGCAAAACATAACCACTGCAACGATAACCACCAGCATCCGACCCGTCGGAAGTGTTGGGGGTACAACTTAGACCCCCAAAATCCAAGTTTTTCTGATGTGGAGACCCAGAAATCTGGACCCCTCCCAAGGCGACCGGCCTTTCATCCTGAATGCATATTGTTTGACAGTCTTGCGACCGGGCCTTAGCCTCCAGAGGCCGAAAATACCGAAACGCCTCCCGTCATGGTTTTTCTCGACGCGATGGGTGATCAGTTGATAGGGGGGTTCGAAGTGAACGCCAGAGTAAGGTATATCTTGACTAACCTGACTTTTAAAAGGGCTTGCAACTGCCCTGTGAAGGGCTGAAGGGAGCACAAATCCAGGCCAAATGGGAAGAGCCCACTTGTCGGAATGCTATGATCATGTTGGTCCACGCAGGACACCCGTGTCCCACGCATGAGCTAGCTTCGGCCAGGTACAGCCCACCTTGACATCCACTGCTAACCCCTGTTATCAACTTATCACCCACGACGGCGATCCACGTCGCACCATCCCAGACTTAAGTCGGGCCTGTCCCCCTACAAGGGGATTTTCGACGAAAAATTTAGAGAAAACTAAGAATAATCCAAAAATAGTCCACAAATAGTCTGGGGACTATCTTTGGAATATGTTTTGACCTTTTGGGTGCATTTTTTATGTATTTTCAAAATTTTCGTCGAAGAATTCCCCTGTAGGGGGACACGCCCGACTTAATGCTGACTCCCTGTTATCAACTCATCACCCACGACGGCGATCCACGTCGCACCATCCCAGACAAGATCAGACCCGTCGGCGCTGTCGGGGGGAAGGCTGAGGCAGGCCAGGCGTGCCTGCGCCCGCCCGTAGAGCTCCTCCAGGTCGGGGTCCAGGTGCTTGACCGGCTCCAGGTAGCGCAGCACCTGCGGGGCTCCGGGAAGGGCCACGCCTTGGCAGCCCTCGCGGGCTCCCACATTAGGAACCAGAACAAAACACACAAAGGAATTTCACACAAAGGGTTTTGGCACCACCAACGGTGCAACGCATGTGCACACATGCCACTGGATCCCCAGCGATCCGAACCAGGGTTGATGCACGGCCGTGCTCTAAGATGCAGTTGACATGCATGTTGAGATGCAGTTGAGTCTGCAGAGAGCTCATGTGACATGAGCTCTCTGCAGACTCTGACCCCCTCGCGCTGTGAACAAAAGGCATGACGGGAATTGATTCTCTCTAATTCCCCTCTGCGGGTCCTTCCCGGGCCTCGGAACCGTCAACAAAAAGAACTCATGCTGAGAAGCCGGTCCCGGGGAAGGGGTCCAGACCCAGGAACAAGAGAAAGCGACACCACCACCACCACGAACCACCAGCGGGAAGAGCCAGGGTGGGTTCCCCTGGTCGTGCTAGAGATATCCCCGTGTCGACAGCTCGAAGAAACATCGGGAACTCCCTCGCTGGAGGTGGCCCCCCTTGGGGAGACCAAGAGGTACCGAATCCGTTGCTCCCCGGACCTCCCCCGGGGTGCGTTCTGACCAGAATTGCGAGGCGAACCCGACGGTGATGACGAAGGCATCCGAGGAGGCCCCAAAAGGGGAAAACGAGGAAAGAGTAGAGGTATGGGTACTTTTTCCTCCTCTGACCCCTGGAAGTGGTGGTGTCGCCTTCCCTTCCTCCCGAACGCCGCTAGGGGTCCACGTGATGAAGGGATCACGGCGTCGGGGTCAGGGGGGGAACGAACGGCGAGCACCGCGAGGACGCGGGGAGCGAGCGAGCGGGCGAGTCAGCGCTAAATAAAATAAGTAGAACATGCATACAAAAAAAACGCCCCCAGACTATATTTGAGCGTTTTTTGCATTTCCTCCTGTAAAGGGACAGGCCCGACTTGAAAGAATAGATAGCGGCGGCGGCAGGGGCGGGGAAAACTGGTCCCTCGGGGCGCGGTCGGGGTGGAGAGTTCCAGGCCCTTGCGGAAGCCAGTCCACAAGAAAGCTTCCACGATAAACCCAACCCTGAGACCCCAGGACGTCCATTGAGTGTGGGCGTGGAAGCGTCGCGCTCTCCATCGCAGAACCATCGAAAGCCAAGGAACTCAGGACACCCTGGAGGCAAGCAGGGTGTTTCTTGGAAGGGCCCCCAGTTCGGGAGCGGCAAAGAGGGGGGTGTCCAAGAGGGGGTGTGCAAATCATGACCGGCGGCATGTGCGCGGCCCAGCGGGGGGGGCCAGGGACGTAATGAAATAAGAAGAGGCGCCATGAAATCTGGGGAAATATCATGGCCCCCGCCATGATATCCCCCTCTTTGCCGCCCCCGACCAGTGCAGGTGCGTCCCACGCTCTCCGGGACTTCCACGCTGTCAAGCTCCGCGAGGGCTGCAGATCCGCGCGACTTCACTATCGTCCCGCTTCCCGCCCGTGGTGCTGCTCGCCCCGGGCCGTGCCGCAGGAAGTCTGGGGAAGGGGGGTCCGTGGCCCCCCCCCGCACGGTGTCCCCCCCACACACACGCCGGATCGGGGTGGAGGCATCGCGCGGCAGCACAACTGGACACAGCTTCAAAAGTGCCTGATGAGATGCACACGGCCCTGTTTTCGTCAGCGTTATACCTGCACGCAACGGATGGATAGAAAGAGCGCGGACCACGCAAATCACTGTCTCTTGGGATGTGGCGGCACTTCCGCATGGTAACCTTTGGGAATTTGGGGTCCGCAACGCTCTGATGATCTCCGATGTCCTCCTCTCTTCCGCCTCAGCCTGCTACTAATGAATAACATCGAACCCGCACCCCTACAGATGGCCTTCTAGGAAAAATCCAACATGCCGTGAACAACGACATTATCAATAGACCAGCAGCACCGCCGCCAACGTCAGCGACCATATGCAAAAGGCGCTAGCAGTGCTCGCCTAGTCGCCCTTGGCCAATTTAACAGACCCATCGCAACAGACTTCACACATTCCTCAACAATGGTTGCCGCGTGAACTCCTTGGTGCTTCGCCCCCTTGCTGTGTTGCTGCTGCCATTTTGTCACGTTGCTCCTGCGCGTGGCCCCGCCGGCGCGGTGGCCATCAGAAGCACAACGGCTACGACACGCAACGTTTCTGTCACCCGTCCTAGAAGACCTGGTCCGACAGGCCGCGAGTCGCCACGGGGCTTCGCCCGGCCCCGAGCGATCCAAATAGAACTGCCGACGCTGCGCAGGATGACCATTGGTGACGGAATGCGGTATGGGCCCGAGAAGCCCTGGGTTGCCTACGAGACGGCCCCTGGGCGTCCTCCGCGGATAGGGGCCCACATGCGAACCCTACCCCTACCCCCCACGATTTCTGAGGGAGCTCCCGAGCAAAGTGAATCCCACCCTCCCCCTCAGAAATCGTGGGGGGTAGGGGTAGGTTTCGCATGTGGGCCCCTAGCGGAGGCCAATGATCATTGCGTGGCACTCGCGCTCGTGCCCTGACAGTTTCCGATAAGCCTCTCCGATCCCAGCACAGCCCCGCATGGCCCGACACGGCCGCTAGAGCACTCTAGAATTCGCAAAATCCGCCGACCCTGTCGGCGAGCGTGAGGGGCTTGTCCGTTCAAGTCGTCATCTCCGTCATTCGTTGGTCGTCGTCTCTGTCGTCCCCTCTCCCTGCCTCCCCCCTTTCCCTGGGCTCGTCGAAGCTCCCCCCTTGCCCAGGGACCTCTTCAGCGCGCCAGCCAAGGCGAAGTTGAGCAACGTCGTAATTGAGTCGAAGGGAAGCCCCTTCCCTTCGATCCCTCCCCCGCCGGGGGGTGCGGGGGCCGGGGGGGAGGGGTCAGATACGACGCCCCCCCCTGGGAGTCAAGGGCCCAAAAAAGTCCCAAGACGGGTCAAGAGTGCCCCAAGAGGCCCCAAAGACAGTCCAAGAGAACCCCGACTCGCCGAACGATCTGTCCAAGACGCCTAGACGGCCCCCAGACGGCCCCAGAGGCCTGCAAAGCGCCCCAAGAGGCCTCCAGGAGCTTTTCCACGAGAGCCCCAAGAGGCAACATTCGATGGATTTCCCATACGTTTTTGACAGATTTTGGCGTTTCCCGTCGCGCCAAGAACGCCCAAGAGGCACCCAAGATCGCCCCGAGACGGCCCAAGAGGCCCCCACGAGGGTCCCCTAACGGCCGAAATGGGGCCCCAAGGCGGCCCAAGACGCCTCCAAGACTGCCCAAGAGGCCCCCAAGACGGCTCCAGTAGAGTGCCCAGACGGGGGACCCGAACGGACATTTCGAGCTCTCAACCCCAAGAGGTCCCCAAGATGCCCCGAAGAAGCCCCGAGAGGCCCCAAGAGGCTCCCAGGGGGCCCCCAATAGGCCCCAAGACAGCCCAGGAGAGTCCCAAATTGCCCAGGAGGCCTCCAAGAGTGCCTCGAGACGGCGCAAGAGGAGCCCTGGACGGCCCAAGACGGCCTCAAGAGAGCCCCAGGCTGTCCCAAGAAAGCCTCTGGCCTCCTCCTCTTCCTCCTCCTCCTCCTCCTCCTCCTCCTCCTCCTCCTCCTCCTCCTCCTCCTCCTCCTCCCCCCCCCTGCTCCCCCTCCTCCTGCTCTCCTCTGCCTCCTTCTCCTCCTCCTGCTTCTCCTCCACATCCTTCTCCCCCCTGCTCCTCCCTCATCCACCTCCTCCACCCTTCCTCCACCTCCCACTCCTCCTCCTCCCCCTGCCCCCCCCCTCGTTTTCATCGTCGTCGTTCCCAGGATGCCGCTGGAGACGTCCGTCCCGGGTAACCACATTCGGGGGCGAGGGAGGCCTCTCATAAGGCCCACGTCACCCTTGTGAGGTCCAAGGGGCATGCCCGGATGCCCCGCACGCCTTCGCAGGAAGCTGGAGGGCCCTCGGGGGGCTTGTCGGGAAGCCCAGGGGACATCTCAGGAACTTCAAGGTTCTCCTCCAGGAAATCCCCAGGAGGCCCGGAAAGCTTTTTGGGTGGCCCAGGGTGGCCCTCGGGAAACCCACTCGGCCCCCAAATGACCAAACCTGTATAACTATAGGAGAGCCCCGATCGCACCTGCTTTGTTTGGTAAGGGCTCATACGTCGCGATTGCATCGCTAAAACGGAGCCCCTGCCCAACAGGATGCGCGGAAATGACACATGATGATTGGGGCACTGTCTGGCTTGGCCCGCAATCCCCGCCAGGCCCCACTGAAGCCCTGGAGAACTTCCCCGAGGCCTGAGAGACTTGTCTGTAAACCCGCGAAGACCCACTCGGGGATGGACAGACCTCCCTGTAGTAAAACGTGGTTTAGTGAAAATGACCTGAGGCTCAAACCTGGCGGGCGCAAGCCTGGAAAATAACGGCCGCGGCGCCCTCTCGAGAGCCGAAGACGGACAATTCACTAATCGACGTGTCACTGTTGGGAGTTCTGTCCGCCCCCGACCCACAGGAGGCCCACAGGAGCCCAGCCAGCTGAGGACGCCCCAGAAGCACGCTCGGAAACCCCAGTGAGCTTATCGGGGGGGGGGGCACCTCAGGAGGCCCTGATGAGCCTCTGACGAACGACGCCGACGGAACCTCTGAGGGGGCCCCAGACACCCGGGGGGGGGCTCTCGGGAGCCCAAGGGACACCGCCGCGAAAAAGCCTCTCGGGAAGCCGGAAAGCCCCGGGAGGAAGCCGAACAAGCCTCCGATCAAGCCCAAGACATGTCTCAGGAGGCCTGGGGGGGTGCTCTCCGAAAGCCCACGACGCCCCTCGTGAGGCCCCAGAGACCTTGCGGATGGCAGACGAAGATGTTACTTGATCCCTGAAGAAAAAAAACACAGCCCCAAAAACGCAGGCGCGCTGGACGGCCACGCGCGCGCGCGGGATCCGAGGGATCGCGAGAAAGACAGAACCGTAGACCAGAGAGAAAGATACGAGAGCGAAGGGGCCCGTTCCCTCCCGCGTCCCCCTGCGCCCTCTGTGCGTCCCCCACCCTCTCCA